GCACCTCTACCCCTTTCATCTCCTAATGCCACTATATTTCTCCATATTGTAGATGCATTCCTAGTTTGGACTTCTTTAATATCCCACACCGTACTTCCTCCATAAAATTTATCTACGATAACTCTCTTCCATAAACTATGATCTTCCTTCCCAAATCTGTCCCACCACTTCCCTAGAAGAGCTATGTTTCTACATTCCAGATTCGGCACACCGAGCCCTCCCTCATTTCTACCCTTGCAAACTTTCTCCCAACTTAGCCATGCTATTTTATTCTTCTCCTCCGTATAACCCCACAAGAATTTTCTTTGTAAGCACACAAGTTCATGAAGCACGATTTTAGGAATTTTAAAAATGGACATAAAATAAATTGGGAAGGCAGAGAGAACAGACCTTAGCAATGTAACTCGGCCACCAATCGACAGGCTTTTCGCTTTCCAGATTGCCAGCTTTTTATTAAAGTTGTCAATAACTGGAATCCAAGGCATTATTCTACACATACTGTCGCCTATTGGCATCCCGAGGTGAGTGAAGGGGAACACTCCAGATTTGCAATTAAGATTAGCTGCTGCCATTCTCCTCCATTCATCTGAAACATGGCATGAGTACAAGACACTTTTGTTGAAATTAATCTTCAAGCCTGAGATCAGTTCAAACCATCTCAAAATTCCTTTCACTGCTTTAATATTGCCCGGTTCTGCCTTCCCCATTATAGCAGTATCATCAGCGAATTGGAGATGTGAGATATTAAGATCACCAGAGCCTACAGGAATTCCTTGGAATAATTCTTTGTTTACAGTTGATTTGATTAACACATTCAGCCCTTTAGCGACAATAAGAAAGAGGAACGGAGCAATCGGATCACCTTGTCTTAACCCCTTCTCCATTTTAAATTCTTCCGTTAGGCTTCCATTAGCAAGCACTGATACTGAAGCTGTTTGCAAGCATTCCTTAATCCACAATCTCCATTTCTCCCCAAATCCAAGCCTTCTCATCATTTCATCCAGGAAATCCCAATTCACGCTGTCGTATGCCTTTTCGAAATCCGCTTTGAATATGAAGCTACTGATCTTTTTCCTCCTGATTTCCTCTACCACTTCATTAAGAATCAGAAGACCATCTGTGATCTGTCTTCCTCCCAAAAAGGCTGATTGTGTCCCACTTATCACCTTGGGTAGAACTTTCTTAATCCTATTTGCCAACACCTTGGAAATGATTTTATAAAGACTACCAATTAGGCTTATGGGTCTGTAGTCTTTTAAATCAATAGGATTATCTTTTTTTTGGGATAAGAACAATAAATGAAGAGTTTATCCCCTTTACTAGTTTGCCGTTCCTGGAGAATTCTTGGACAAAATCGACAATGTCTTTCTCGATCACATTCCAAATGGATTTGATAATATGGAAACTGAATCCATCAAGACCAGGAGATTTGTCTCCTCTGCAATCCCACACTGCTTGTTTCACTTCTTCTGCTGACACTTCTCTTTCTAGCCAAACGCTGTCTTCTTCATTTAGCTGCTTGAACTGTAACCCACCCAGTTTCGGTCTATCCCACTGCTCTTCTTGGAAGATTTTGTTGAAGTATTCACGCACTTCCTGCTTCACCACACTCGATTCCTCTATCCAAGCTCCATCTTTGTATATGCCCCGAATCAATTTTCTCCTCCTGTTGCTGTTCATTATTCTATGGAATAGCTTGGAGTTAGCATCTCCTTGCTTTACCCAATCGAGCTTTGTCTTCTATTTTCATGCCACTTCTCTTCTTTGCCATGCTTCCCATAATTCACTAAAACCTTCCCTTCTTAGCAAGACGTCCTCCTCTGTTATTTCGCCGTCCTCACTCTTATTGTCAACTTCATTGATTTTTGCTTCTGCCTCTGCAATTTGATTCTCAAAACTTCCGAAGACTTCACTATTCCATTTCTTCAATTTATTCCTCAATCTTTTGAGCTTCTCTTTGCACACATATCCCTTCCATCCCTCTACCACTGTAGATTTCCAGTTTTCCTCAACCATTTTGATAAATTCTGGATGCTGGTCCCAGCAATTTAAGGTCCTGAATGGCTTTCGGCCCCAATTGCTATTGACCTTCTTTAACATCACTGGACAATGATCAGATGTAGTTCTATTCAGTCCAATTTGACAACAATCACCCCATAAATTAAGCATACCATCAGATAAAAGAAATCTGTCCAGCCTACTCTTTGTTGACCCATCACTCCTGTACCAAGTAAATTTCCTTCTTGTTAGTGGTAAATCAACCAATCCTGCTAGTTCAATGAATTCGTTGAGATCCTTCCTGTAGTTAGAGTGCTCAGATCTTCCTCTTCTCTCATCCGTTGATCTCACACTGTTGAAGTCTCCAGCAATGCACCAGCAATTTTCTCCTTCCTCAATCATCTTCAATAACTCTGTCCATGTTTCCAGCCTTTCATTCCTGTTACATGACGCATAGACATTCACAATACAGCACTTTTTCTTCTTCTCTCCCCAAAAGCCATAGATAGCTAATGCGCCTGGAATTTCCATAACTGATTCTTTTACAAAAATCTCATTGTCCCACACGCATAATAGACCACCTGATCTACCCAATGATGCCTTATATACCCAGTCGAAATTATCTCTTCCCCAAATAGACATGCAAAATTCCTTGTCAATTCTTTCCATTTTTGTTTCTTGGAAGCAAGCTAAATCTATTTCCTCCTTTCTAATCAAACTCCTCACCTCTTTTCTTTTGATCGAACTACCTAGCCCCCTCACATTATAAGAGATCAACTTCATTGCTGAAAATTTCTGGAAATTGAGAAAAGGGCCTACTGTTATTGTTGCCGGGCATGCCCCCGTCTGTCCTTTTCTTCCATCTGGCTAAATCTTTCCACAATCTGCTCTTCTCTGTTGCAGATCTCGATCCCTAAATTGTCCCTGAACTCCAGAGTCTTCCTCGCTTCTTGTAATACTATGCCTTCTTTGATCCTTTTGTTATTACACACAATATCGCTGTCAGTTGTTGATCCTTTCGGTGATGTACCGCCAAGGCTGACCAGCTGTAGCATTACTCTTCTTCTTCTTCCACACCTCGTTCCTGTCACTAGCATCGGTGTTTCTGCTTTCTTTTCTTCTGGTATCTTGGGACTTTTGATGGGGCTTTTAAAAGTTTTAAGCCCACGCCTCTCCTGGTGGTCCGGTTCGCTTTCTCCTTTGGCCGAATGGGTCTTGTGTTTGCTAGCAAGTGGGCTTTTGGATTGGGCTGTTTCTTGGACAACCCCTTCGTCTGATGGTGGAATTCTGTTGAAGCTGGTATGGCTCCCATTTGCACGCTCCTCTCTCTGTTTTCCTTGAATGTGATTAGACAGAAAGTCCTCATTTTCTTTGCTTTCCTCAAGAAATGTCTTTGAGACACACAATTTGTCAAGATAATTAATGCCATTGACATTTCTGAAAGTTGTTTGAATTTCCTCTTCCTCTTGACCGTTTGAATAGTTACCGTCAAGCTCGCCAGAATCATCACCAAAATTGAAAGCCGTTGAGCTAACTTCTGAATCTACACTGGAATTATCAATCTTATTCAACCACCAAGGATCCGATCTCCAATTTTCCTCCACTAGAGTAATGTTGTAACTATTATTCTTCACTTTGAGCAAGAATTCTTCATTAATCCCTGTTTTAGATTTAGTAGAGACTAAGATTCTCGCTACATCCAGGCACTC